TTGATTTGGTTTTGTTACCATTTACGTTTTCTATGCACGAGTTTGATGACATTATGTCGGTAAACTGTGTTCCGATCACAGAAAATTATTGGGACATATATCAAATTTGAATGCAGGCAAAAGCTAAACTCAATGACATCGTTTTCTCTCACCTGAAATCAAATATAATCGCTACCTAATTCAACAGAAAAACATTTTTAATAGTCTCCATAATCACATATACTTACAAGGGTTATTGAACATAGAAGACTGCAAAACTCAATAATTATAAACCTATATATCTGGAGATTCAAATGCGTATGCACATTGTTTTGTTTTGTTTTTTTTTAACCTAGTGTGCACATTGTCTCTAGCTCTGTTTCATTTCTATATCTTATGGCGTAGTGTAAACACATCAGAAGTTATCTAACAATAAAATTCTATACAGAAAAGTATGTTCTAGAAAAACGTAAGAAAACCTTAAATCCTTACATTTTCTTGGCTCCCTTTCCTACATAAAGAATGAATCCTTAAATCCTTTACTTGTAAATACCATTTATAAAGAATGAATCTGAAAAAAATAGAAAATAGTTTTCTTTTGTAACAATTAACAACAATCAATGGCTTTCCTTGTTGTACACTTCACAGTTTCAACGAATACGATTCCCATGAGAAAATGGCTCATGGGCTGTTTTTGGAGCAGGTTTTTTGGTGGTCTCCAGTACTCCAAAAACTTTCCAGAACCTCAGTCTCGTCTCCAAGCTATGGTACAACCATTTTCACCATGAACCATTTTGTATTTTCTGATAAAGATCGATCTCGAGAGATAAAGAGAAACAGGACTCCAAGACAGATACGATTACTAGTCTTCCAAGTCCCAAAAAAATACTGTTATTTGTTTACTCTACAGATAAACAAACTACGCACTAATTCAAGAAAGAAAAATAAATCATGGAGAAGCGTATTCAAAGGCTTGTGGAGGTTGTGGCTCATCATCATCTACGGCCATAACCGAGGGCATAGTTGCTTGCTGGCTTTGGCATGTAGCTGCTGCACCACCAGCAGGAGATGCTGTTGAAGTTGGTGCATCAGTCAGAGACAGAACCTCAGGCTCAAGCGGACGCAACTCTCTAAACAGGACGAACCCTGATGGAGCTAGCTTCACCGGTACATATCTGCTTTCCTCCATCAATTTTATGTATTTCTCAAACGTTGCTTCTGCCTCCGCTTTCTTCTCCACTGTTGTAGCTGTTGTGCTATCCTTTTAACACAGAGAATCTTTACATAATGATCCAAACATATGATCAAGACAGATCATGAACATGATATTGTCTATGTTCAAAAGAGCAGCATTGACAAATGGTAAAGCAGAGATTTGATAATCACTGAATTGACATTTTAGACGATGATGTTAAGAATATGATTGCACTTTACCTGCATAGAGTCTGCTTCCTTCTCATCTGACGTTGCTCTTCCTTTTCCGGCTCCACTTTCATTACCAAGCTTTTCGCGTTACTTTTCTGCTCTGCCTCTTCCTTTCTCCTGCTGATGTATGACCAGTAAGCTCAGCCATTTTCACCATGGATGGGTACTTCCAAAGTGTGAGCTGATTCTGTGTAAACCATGTTGGATAAGCTTCAATAGCTTGAGGCCCAAGACATCCTAATCTAAATAGGATTAGGATAAGATAGGTCAAATAGAATTAGGAGTTATCTAGTTCTAGGAAAATAGGATTAGAAAAAGGAAATTCTAAAACCTATATATATATATATATATGTTTATCGAGCTTGTGATAAACATAAGAGAGAACATTGATGTTTAGTTTTGAGCTAAGTTTCTAAACATAATAAAGAAAGCATATTCTTTATACAAGTGTTTTCCTTAAGCGACTATATTGTGGTATCAGAGCAAATAGTATCGACGACAAAGTAGCAGCATAGACAACGACGATGGCAGGCGACGAATACACCAAAGGAGAGGAGTCGAAACCAGTCTCAACCATCACCGTACGAAAGGAAGCGGCTCCGTCGTCCTCAACGATCCAGTGCCCCATGCTCACGCCGACGAACTACGCTGTTTGGTCCATGAGAATGCGAGTGACCTTGCGAGTTCACAAAGTTTGGGACACAATTGAACCCGGATCAGAAATAGCAGAAAAGAATGACATCGCGACGGCTCTGCTATTTCAGTCGATCCCTGAAAGCCTCGTATTACTAGTTGGAGATCACGACTCACCGAAACATATATGGGAAGCAATTAAATCGCGAAATCTAGGAGCAGACAGGGTGAAAGAGGCACGCCTCCAAACCTTAATGGCCGAATTTGAAAGACTGAAGATGATTGATTCTGACACAATTGATACCTTCTCAAGCAAGATATCAGAGCTAGCATCGAAGTCATCATCTTTAGGGCAAAACATCGAAGAAACAAAGATGGTGAAGAAGTTTCTTCAAAGCTTGCCAAGGAACAAGTATATCCAAATCGTAGCATCTTTAGAGCAGGTCCTTGATCTCAACACAACGAGTTTCGAAGAAATTGTTGGACGGCTCAAAGCGTACGAAGAGCGTATACAAGAAGAAAAACATAGTGAAACGACTCAAGGAAACTTGTTGTTCACTAACACAATGACACAAGAAAACCAAACCAACTATGAAGGATCACAAGGACGTGGAAGAGGCCGAGGTCAAGGAAGAGGTTTGCGCGGAAGAGGCCATGGCAGAGGCAATAACCAAGACCGAAACAAAGAGAAGAGTGACAGATCAGAGGTAGTGTGTTTTCGCTGTGATAAAAAGGGTCACTTTGCTTCAGTATGCCCCGAAAGGAAGAAAAAGATGCAAGAACTGAACAAAGTCGAAACAGAGGATGCAGACGAAGCACTTTACATGCAAGAGATCATCTTTCTTAACGAAGAAAAGGTACTTCCAAAGAAATACGACTCGAACAAAGAAGAAGAAGGAACCTGGTATTTGGATAACGGCGCAAGCAACCATATGACCGGAGTGCGTTCTTTCTTCTCTGAGTTAAATGAGAACGTGAAAGGTAAAGTCAAGTTAGGAGATTGTTCGTGTGTTGACATAGGAGGTAAAGGTTCGATCCTGTTTAAAGGAAAAACAGGAGAACAACAGCTCCTAACAGCTATCTACTTCATTCCATTGCTAAAGAGCAACATACTAAGCTTGGGACAGGCTACTGAATACGGCTGTGATGTGAGAATGAAGCAAGACAATCTAACCCTGCGAGACCCTAGAGGAAGACTCTTAGCAAAAGTAATAAGATCCCCTAACAGACTTTACAAAATCACCCTCAAGATTGGTAAACCAATATGTCTACACTCCAAGATCGACAAAGATACATGGAAGTGGCATGCCAGACTTGGTCACATTAGTTTCAGAACTATCAAGACCATGTCAGCACTAGAGATGGTTCAAGGACTACCCAAAATCCAAAGTGAAAAGGAGTTATGCGAATCATGCTTAGTAGGAAAGCAAGCTCGCCATGCCTTCCCAAAAGCAACGCAGTACCAAGCTAAAAGGGTATTAGAACTCATTCATGCGGATTTATGTGGTCCTATATCCCAGCAACGTTTGCCAAGAACAGGTATATCTTTGTAATCATCGATGATTACACAAGATATATGTGGACCATATTGTTTAAAGAAAAGAGTGAGGCATTCGACAAGTCTAAAGAGTTTAAGATTCTTGTTGAAAAGGATCTCAACAAATCGATCTTAACACTAAGAACAGACAGAGGTGGGGATTTTACTTCAAGAGAGTTCCAGGATTTTTGCAATAAAAACGCAATTAAAAGGCACCTTACAGCTCCTTACATTCCACAGCAGAATGGAGTAGTTATAAGGAGAAACAGGACATTAATGGAGATGGCAAGAAGTATTCTTAAAGCAATGAGGGTTCCAAACATATTGTGGGGAGACGCGGTACGTCATTCAACTTATCTAATTAACAGAATCCCTACAAGAGCACTAAAGGATCAAACTCCCTACGAATGCTTGAGAAGAAAGAAGCCAAGGATCGATCACATATGAGTTTTCGGCTGTCTTGCTTATGCGAAAGTTGAAAACGTGAATCTAAGAAAGCTAGATGATCGATCACAAGCCCTTGTGCATCTTGGGATTGAACCAGGATCTAAGGCATACAGGCTCTACAATCCAGCAACAAAGAAGATCATTGTAAGCAGAGATGTTGTTTTCAATGAAAAGGAAGGTTGGAGCTGGAAGGGAGCTATGAAATCAAAGAATCTAGACCAGGGATGTTCCATATGACATGGGGAGAAGCAGTGGACGAAGGACAAGGTCCATACACCTGCAACGACGAACAGAGTCATGGAACAGAGCCCGAAAAGGAAGATAGCGAAGATGAAAGCACTGTCCAAGAGCAAGAAGAAAACACAGATGCACAACAGCTAAGAAGATCTACACGTGAAGTAAGACACCCTAAGCGGTTCGATGATTACGTCCTCTTAGCAGATATCGAGTGCGAGCTACTTCTACTTGCATTAAACGATGAGCCAAGAAATTTTGGAGAAGCAAAAGGCTCACCTCACTGGACAAAAGCGTGTACAGAAGAAATAGACTCCATCAATAAGAACAAAACCTGGAGATTAGTCGATAAACCTGCTGGAGTAAAGGTCATCGGACTAAAATGGGTATTTAAGGTCAAGAGGAATGCTGATGGGTCTATAAACAAATACAAGGCTAGATTAGTTGTAAAAGGGTATGTGCAACAAGAGGAAATCGATTTTGAAGAAGTTTTTGCACCTGTTGCAAGGCGACAATTCGATTACTCATTGGTCTGGCCGCTTCCCATGGATGGGAAATTCACCATCTCGACGTGAAGACGGCCTTCTTACACGGTGAACTTAATGAAGAAGTGTTTGTCTTACAACCAGAAGGATTTTAAAAGAAGGGAGAAGAGCACAAAGTTTTCAAACTTGCTAAAGCTCTATATGGCTTGAGACAAGCACCAAGAGCATGGAACACTAAGCTTGATCAAATCTTAAAGGGCATGAAGTTCAAGAAGTGTTCAAGGGAAAGTTATGTGTATCGAAAAGAGGAAGAAGGGAATCTCCTCATTGTGGCTGTTTATGTTGATGACCTTTTTGTAACAGGAAATACAATGGACATCATCAAAGCTTTTAAAGTGGGAATGTTGTCAAAATTCGAGATGTCAGATCTAGGAAGACTTACATATTACCTTGGAATAGAAGTTAAGCAAAGCAAAGCTGGGATTGAGATAAAGCAGGAGGCTTATGCACGTCGTATACTCAAAGAAGCTGGCCTAGACGCATGTAACCCGACTCACATACTAATGGAGTTCGGCTTAAACATGTCAAAAAGGCAAGAAGATGAACCTGAGATAGATGCAACCATGTATCGAAGAAGGATTGGCTGTTTAAGGTACCTCCTGCACACGCGACCTGATCTCTCTTTTGCTGTTGGAGTACTTAGTAGGTATATGCAAGCTCCTAAGGAATCACATGGACAAGTGATGAAACAAGTACTGAGATACTTACAAGGGACGTTGGCGTATGGTCTGAAAAGAAAGGTGGTTCTAAGAAACTTATTGGCTACAGCGACAGCAGCCATAATGTAGACCCCGACGATGGAAGAAGCACAACAGGACATGTCTTTTACTTTGTTGAAACACCAATATTCTAACTAAAGCCCTAGCAAGACTGAAGTTCAAGAAGATGAGAGATTTGATAGGAGTTCAAGACCTCTCTGAAAATGATCTGAAGCTTAAGGGGGTGAATGTTGGATAAGCTTCAATAGCTTGAGGCCCAAGACATCCTAATCTAAATAGGATTAGGATAAGATAGGCCAAATAGAATTAGGAGTTATCTAGTTCTAGGAAAATAGGATTAGAAAAAGGAAATTCTAAAACCTATATATATATATGTTTATCGAGCTTGTGATAAACATAAGAGAGAACATTGATGTTTAGTTTTGAGCTAAGTTTCTAAGCATAATAAAGAGAGCATATTCTTTATACAAGTGTTTTCCTTAAGCGACTATAAACCCATGTGAGCTAAGTAACTCTCTTTTATTCTTGCTCCATAACAGAGAACATATTTGAGAGCCAGTGTCTACTGAATTCAAGCAAGCCCCTGTGTAAGAGTTCCTGAACTTTATCGTCGTACTCTTCCACCGCCACCGGTTGCAAGCAAATTCGCTTGGAAAAAGCCCAATTGCAACATGAAGACCATCAGGTGCCCAGTTGATACTCGTTACAGGTACTTTCTCTTCATCAATGGTCACAAGTTCAGATGTGGAACCATTAGAAGCATCCCGGAGATAAACAGTGAGGCCCAACGCTATGACTAAAACATTATATTACAAGAAAATATGTCATATTCCTACAAAACTTCCTACGAAATTAGTACTGCCCTAGTCAAGCACGTTGAGGTAGAAGTCATCCACAATGTTAGGTGCATCGAAAGTTCTCTCAGAAGTCTATTATCATAACAACACAAAATTTGAAAAACAACACACAACTCCAAAGCAGCAACAAGTAGGTATGAACAAAAGAAAAGAAACATATGAACGAAAGAAAAGAAGAAAAAAAGGAAAAAAAAGAAGTCGGCACTAGTCAGCAGCAACTCACAAAATATACAACCACGAAAAGATCTTTATGCTACAAAATTAAGTACAGTTTATAGTAGAATGTATGATAGGCTTAAGGTTTGGGAAAAAAATAATATAATAATACCGTAAAGCACAATAACATTGCAAAATCCCAAAATCTTCATCTAAATTTTTTTGGAATATTGAATAAAATATTTATCTAAAAAAATAATAGTAAACAGTTATCTACAACGTTATAGAATAATAGTTTAAAAAGATGTAGTTTTAACTTCTGAGAGGTCATTTTTAACCACAAAAAGTAACAGTTTACTAAATATGTAAATTTAGAGAAAAGTGCCAATCCACTAAAATGGATTGCAATTAACTAATTGTTCTTCTTTGTTTTTTCCTAGGTTTTCAGAAACTTATATCACAGTTTTCACAAAATATTAATTTTCTTTTGGGCGAAAGTCTTTTTTTTTTCTCTGGTATAGACCAATACAAAATAAAATCCTGAAATTAATGGACTTCAAATTCAATAAACAACAAACGTAATCAATGACGCCACAATAACAAAAACTTATTTGTAATGTAGTGTGTAGTAATGTAAAGCTAAAATAAAGTAGTCAATACAGCCAAAATAATAAAAGAACATAGTTAAACGAAGCTAACTCTACTGGAGAAACTACGTTAAAGGGTGATGGAGTTGACGATGCATTTCTCTCTAAGCATGACTATGGAGAACCAAGAGAAGAGGCAACCGATTAGATAGTTGTCTTGTGTATAAGAGAAAGATGTAAGAGTCGTGGCTTGCAAGATGTGTAACGTACGGAAGAGCGGGAATAACACAAGTTCATAAATGACACGTAGGATGCAGAAGAAATGCTGACGTGGCACTACTGATGGAAGGTAAGGGAGGAGATCTTCGTAACAAGAAAGGGAAATTGGAATCCCAACAGAAAAAGGAAAGGAGATATACACAAGGCGAGGTGGTATATATTCGAAGGAAAATGAGTTTAGTAGGGTTAACCGTTCTGAGCGAGATTTGAGAAAACAATATCACAAAAAGCTAAGTGAGAGTTTAGGGTTTTTGGTGAGTGATTGTAATCTAGTTCCACAACTGTTGTTGTGCTAGGTCGTGTAGATTAAGAATTGGTCATTGTCGAATTACAGAGCAAGGTCGTGTAAAACTGATTAGACAGATTGTTTGAGATTGTCTAAGTGATTTCTAATAAAAGGCAAAAAGGTGTTTTGCAAAAATAGTGTGTTCAACTCATTGTCTCTGTGTTACACCCCTTTCATTTGGTATCAGAGAGGAAGTGTGGACAGAACGCTGTTTATCCAAACCATGAGTCGAGATATTCTGATAGTGCAAGTGTATGTCGATGACATAATTTTTGGTGCCACACAGCAAAGCCTGGTTGATCAGTTCGTGGTAACAATGACCAGGGAATTTTAGATGAGCATGATTGGGGAATTGAACTACTTCCTTGGATTACAAGTAAAACAAACTCAAGATGGCATCTTTGTTTCCCAAAGCACTTACTCAAATAATTTAGTGACACGCTTCGAGATGCAGACAAACAAAAGTGCTAGCACGCCTATGAGCACTACAAACAAACTGTCCAAGGATGAAGGAGGGCAGCATGTAGATGAGAAGCTGTACCGTGCCATGATAGGGAGCCAGCTGTACCTTACTGCCAGTCGACCTGACATATATCTGAGTGTTGGATTATGTGCTCGCTATCAGGCATCCCCTCGTGTGTCACATTTGAATGCAGTCAAGCGTGTGATCAAATATGTCAAGGGAACTCTGGATTATGGCATACATTACACGAAGGACACTAATGTGAATCTTGCTAGTTTTGTGATGCAGATTGGGGTGGGTGTCTGGATGATAGGAAGAGTACTTCTGGTGGATGTTTCTTCTTGGGGAACAACATGGTATCCTGGCACAGTAAGAAGCAGAATTGCGTGTCCTTGTCAACTGCTGAGGCTGAATATGTGGCATTGGGGAGCTGCTGCACCCAACTCCTTTGGATGAAGCAAATGCTTGCTGACTATGGTATAGCTTCTGACTCTTTCCTTGTAAAGTGTGACAATAAAAGTCAAAAAATCCTGTTCAACATTCACGCACGAAACACATTGATACTAGGCATCACTTTGTTCGAGGTTTAGTAGAGGATAAACTTGCTGTTATTGAACATGTTGCATCTGAGTACCAATTAGCTGATATCTTCACCACACCCTTAGATCTGAACAGTTTTCTTCGACTGCGAAAGACCTTAGGTGTGTGTGAGTTCTGAGTTTGCGTGACACGCAGGGGGTTGTGCGTGGTCCAATTTTTTTTTGTGTTGTACAGATGTCACTGATTTTTGGCTCTCTTGGTAAACCATCTGTTGAGCAGTTCCCCTGGTCTCTAAGTATCTGCATTTGAGGAGATGTGTCCCCGTATGATTGTCACTCAGTTTTGACTAAGGTGTCACCACACTTTAAGTCTGACACTGATCACTGACATGATCGGGGAAGTCAATGTGAGAGCACATGTCAAGGTGAGGATGGTTCTTAACTACCTTCCTGTTCTCGATGTTCTTTTGTGGTGTGTGTGAAAGCTACTCGGCTGAGAAAGTTGCACAAAGATAGGACATCAGTGATCACAGAGACTTGCCATCAGCGTGTGCAAGAATACAACAAATGAAAACAAACAAAAAAAAATAATCAACACCTCTTACTGGCTGTGCTTGGATAGACAATCGTGTCTCACTCATATTGAGTAAGTGTGAATGCTCCTCAGCTGGGGAATGCAGCACTACGATGTTCCTTGCACATAGTCTGGTTGGGTAACTCTCTGTGACTTGCTGAGGTAGGACCATTCGACTGTGATGGCGGAAGTGCACACCTTGCAAGGCTTTCATGTATGCTTCGATCAAACACAACTCCATTAGATGAAGTGAATGGGAAAAGAGAATGCTGCTGGACAGATGATGGAGTGTGTGAAGGCTCCTTGGCTAAGGATATGCCGCACACTCCCCCTCAGAGAGTGAATTATTGTTTCAAAGTTTTGATCTCTGCCCATGCGTGTAGCACCACCCTCCCTAGATGAAGCCTCTGTGTCTAATCTCTCACACACAACGCCTGGCTCAAGGTTGGTGATATCTTTGGCTTGTGTAACTCATGATGTGATGTGTTTCAATCTCAAGCATGGGGTCCTCATATCTATTATCCTTGTACATACGTGGGTCTAGTCATTTATGTTGGGTTTTCTGGGCAATTATCCGCATTTATCCGCATTTTTCTTTCTGCACTTGTTTTGGGCTTATGGCCCATTTGTTACACTAACTGTGGACTGAGTGTTTGGCTAGGGTTATTTTCCACGATCCTTTAAAAGGTGATGGCTGACGTTTCATGTGGCACGAACCCTAATCGTGTGTCACCGTCTCATGCCGCTTCTCTTCACTCTCTCTTGGGTCACAATTCCGCGCAACACTTGCTCCGCCACCGCCAAGCTTCTCGCTTCCGCAATCAAAGCCTCGTGCCGCCGTTCACCTGCTGACGAGGAAACTCTTGCCGAGGCTCTTCTGCGTCTTCGAGCTAAACGAAAGTCTCTATCTCGCTCTGGGAAGGCATCGATTGAGATTCCGAGTGCTAAAGAGGATGACTGTGATGGTTCCTCTGCTGCTGAGGAGTTCGAACACCTCTTTGACGGATCGCAGGCCTCTCCGGAGGATTTCTCCAATCCCTTCGCTCCACCTACTGGTGACAAGATGGACGAAGATTCTGCAGAGGACCTTGAAGACTTTGTGGATCCGCATGAGACAGATCACCCTCTTTACCTTGACCGTGAGGCGCGTTACTCCTCCAATCGCCGTGAACAAGTGGTGAGAGATCGCATGCATCCTGAACTTACTCGTCCTCGCCTGCGGCCTATCGAAAACTTTTTCTCTCTGGCTGCCAAGGACAGGTTTGTATCTTTTCGCCTCCGGCCTTTTCACAATCAGAAATATCTTCCTCTGGATGATCCTAAGCTAG